AGCTTCGCGCAAGCAGTGCGCAAGCGCACCCCCCTGTTCTAGGACACAGCCCAGGACTGTTTGACCGACTACTCATGGAGGCAAGATCGCAGCCGCATGAGCGTCCTTCACCAACACAAAACCCGTAGAACAACCTTAATCCCTGCACCATCTTTGATATGGGGTATTTGGCCTACGGCATATATTGGGCTTATATGCATAATCAGCTAATAAGCCCTTGTTCGGCTCGGACGCGTGGGGGAGGTAAGCCAACCTTGACATGTTGGCAGCCACACATACAACCATCCACATTTGCACACTATTCATTATATCTAATTGCAAGTGTACCTTCGCAGTTGGATGATTTTCGATCTCAAGGACGGCTCAAGATGTATACACTCATACGAGCGTGCCTTCGCGTTTCGTGTTCCGGGCACAGCTTACAGAACTATAGATAGTTAGATAGTTAAGTACCAAATCTATGAATCTTGCGGGTTCTGCAAGGCACAGCGCGATTGGGTTATCTTCTGGGCGTGCAGGCCAATAAACCACTTCGACCCAGTATGTCGTCCTATAGATCCCGAGGGCGAACTCAGCCCGCAGCCAACATCGCATACATGTCATTGACCAGGCCACCCGCCCTAGGAGAGGCGAAGGCTTGCAGCTCAGAGGACTTGGCACAAGAAGCTCTGCACCGGTGACCATAACAGCAGCATAACTTTAGGGTTTGCGGTTCAGGGCTTGGGGCTTAGGGTTCGGTTGTCAGAAGTTGTTAGCCGTGACTGGCCAGAGTGCACTGGCGTTCAACATGCACATTGGTCCCGAGGCCCCTGCTACCAAAGAAACCTCGAACTCTAGGACTCTGGGCCTAATGACCGTGGCTCACAGATCCTGTGTCCCCAGCGCAGGTGACTTCATCTGAGAGTTGGAGCCAGGTCCAGCTGACGCAAGGGATTTAGAATGCCTGAAAGCTTCATAGCCCTGAAGCTTGGATGATGTTGGTCGAATGGATTCGCACTCGAACTCAGGGAATTCGGCACGCTAGCCCAAGAAGAAAGGGTTGACCTTCTAATTCTGTTGATGACAGTGCCTGAACCCTAAACCCTAAACCCAGCCCCTAAGGTTCTGAAAGCAGCCGGGCGGCACAAACCAATCTGGAGGTCTGAGAGAGATGTTCCTGGAGCAGGCAGGCTGAAGCAAGATCCAACGACGTCGCTTCTGAGTAGCCATCGACAATGAGCTTTGCTTTTCTTGGAAAAGGCCCGTGACTTGGGGTCAAGATCTCAACGACCCAGGTGCAGGTAGAATTACTCATGCCGGGATTGGCAAGGTCATCTTAACTGCTAAGTTCATGCGCGCCGGTGCAACTTCAACTCTGAAAATGGGCCACACCGTGAACACAGCGGGCGCACCATAGAATCACAGCCGCATTGAGAATCATGGCCACCTAAGATGTGACGCAAGGACCGCGATGAGTAGCAATATCATTTTCGCTCTAAGAGGTGGTCCTTCAGCCCTAATAGATCTTGAAGCCGCTGTTTATCCTAAAACCTGAAACTCTTCTCTAAAACGACCTGTACTACAGGCGTCGGTGAGCAGTCACTCAAACACCACGCGTACGTTATCGTTTTCCTTGGTCATGTCTGACTGTTGTTCATGGTCGCTGATCCGAACCCTCGCTTCCGAAGCTCGACGGCAGACTTTGCCATTTTCGAAACTCGTTTGCCTGTAACCCGGCGCACGCACAACTGGGATTGTGGCCGTCATGTAGTAGTTGATCGCTGCTGCCTCGCCCGTCCTCGGAGGAGGGTGTAAAATTTCGAGACACACACACACACACTCGCGCAAGGCAGGCATGGCAATGAGTCTCCGAGGGAGTGAAAGTTTAGGATGATTTGTCAGCCAGAACGGCGAGACTGATACTATCGGCATGTGATGTTGGCCGGCCTCCCTCGATTTCTTTCTCTTTTGTTGGCGGGCTTGTTGTAGACAGGATGGATGCAGGCAGGCTCGCGAACGATGTGTGGCGCCCTGGCGGCCACAGGGCGATCACTGACGGCATTGAGACATTGAATCTTGTTCTGGCGGACAAGGTTGTTGTGCTTCTTGACGTACAGGAGCACACAAAAGATGTGTGTGTGTGCGCGCGCCTTCGCGACGGTATTGTTCTCGACGACCGGGACAACACGACCGGTACCCCAACCCGAATTGACGGAACACCGGGACACCGGCTGGGCACACTTTTCGGTGCTTTCCCCATAATCGAGGTCGACGCCTTCCACGACTAGGTAGGTAAGTGATGGACCGCAAACCTGGTGGCAGTGTTAAGGAAACGCCAGTACTTCTCATCCTGTACTTTTCGTGAAACTGTCATTCTATGCTTCGCATCATGTGGTGTCTGTAAGCTCTCGGGCCTGTAGTGAGTCTGTAGTGCGCATTGCTTTCTCTGTGTGTTCGTGCGTGCATATTGATTACGGTACTTATTCGCTTACTTGTTTCTTAATTTGTCTTTCATTTGTCTGCGTTTGAGTAGATATGGATATTTGTACAAGTATACGCATATGTAGTTATGCAAGCATATACATATGTCACATTAACAAAAACGAGAAGTACATCTATCTGCATATCTGAATATATTGTAAGTAGATATTAACTCTATATAGACGTACAATGACATACAATTCTAGGACATGAAAGTTCCAGAAATCTTCACTCCACCTCCTCAGGCAGAGCTTGGGCCAGGAAAGAACCCCTGGACTCAGACTCTCTCCGGAAACTTTCAAAACACGAGCCTACAGCGACGCTTTCACGCGCAGTGCCGCTCATGCAGCCGAGGCCAGTGCACCAAGCTTCAAGTAGCAGTCGCAAACAGCCACCGTACACCATCAGATGATTGAGTGGCCGCCACCACGCCTCAGGACATGGCACATACATATTCAGCAAGCAACCTATCCTAGCAGCAGCTACCCTCAAATGGCACGAGACAGACTTATTCCTGAGCTCGGAGTGTGGGCTACAACTTCCAGCCCATGTGCGGTGCCCCGGTCTTCTGCATCATGTTCAAGCAAGACCATACCCAGAAGCAGCGGGCAGGACATGAAGCCAACGATGATCACCGATGCTAGAGCCCGGAATGGAGCCATGATGCCTTGGGAAAACGGCAGGTGCACCATACTTCCACAGTACTTGCACCGAGGCAGCCAGGGTACCAAAGGATCGCTTCTCATAGGGGACAGGGCTTAGGCTATGTCGGCTCTCCGCTTGTGGGTCCACCATCACCTCCCCCAGCATCTGGAACTGATCTCCAGCCTGTACGACATCGCCAACTGACACCGGGCACTTCATTTCGCATCAGACAAGATAGAAGCAGCCAGGGTCGAGAGTTTACAGCGAGAGACCTCAATAATGCAAGCCAAATGACAGATGCTCAGAGGAATCGGAGAGAGGTGACGGAACCTATGTGCTCTCTCACCGACTTTTTGGTATTGTGCGATGGCACGCCAATGTTTCTTGCCTTCTAGATTTCGTGACCTGCTCTGTCCAGCGCTTGCCTGGTGCTCGCCGTTTTCCCTACCCATGTCTGCGTGTGCTTGGCTTTGTGCGCGGCTCATTCGTGGCTACGAGCATTAAGACAGAGAAGTCAAAGGTCGGAATTTCCGACTGCCACCTTGCTGCAGATGACGACGCCGTTGCTGCAGATCCTGAGGGTTTCCTCCTCTGTCAGTGTGTGGATGTTCGGCCCGATCTGATACCAATGATGCGTGTGGCTCGCTACGAGGGGATTCCACTCCAGTGTTTCGCCAATGAAATCAGCAGACAGGTTGGAATCGTCTGTGATGTAGACCTGCATCAGACGACCGCCATTCTGGATCTGCATCTCGCCAACTACGGCCATGGCGTTGCTGTCCCTCCGGCCGATGAGGATCAAGAGGCCGTTGCCATCTGCATCCTGCTTCTCCATTGCTGCTCACTACTGGCAAGAATGTGAAGATATTGGAAGTATGTATGTTGTACCATCCAGAACCGGTAGGATGATGTCGACGGGGGTGGTGGTCGTGGTGCTGCTGCTTCTGCTGCTGCTACTGCTACTGCTGCCGCTGCTGCTGGCCGTTGTCGCCATCTCCTGATCCTAGACCAGGCCTTTTTGTACTTTATGCCACTCTGCTTCAAAACTTTGCGGCTTGACCATAAAAATGTGGAACAGCTTGACAAGAGTTCGATGTAAAACGCAGCATCACATCTCTCCAGTTTGTACAGATGCCAATACTGGTAACAAGGTGAACAAGTACGCACTGATCAATCTAGCTGTCGACCGCCACTGTCACACCTGTGACAAGAGCACCCAGCATATCAGCAACAGCATCACAGGTTGTTTACGCTATGTCCGCTATGTACTGCTACATGAGATTGACATTGAATGATTGAGAGACTATTGAAGCACAACATTGAATGACACAAGCCTTGGCTGCATCTCCTCGTTGACTCTTCAGTATACACCTAATTGGCTCGATTTGATGCGCCCACTGCGGCACTGCACTATCGCATATTGCCATCGCAGAGGCTACGAAATGCAAGGATTCAGCGTGGATATGCGATGGGGTTCTGTTGGCGCCTGGATGCATGCTTGGTGCTGTTCCGAAGTGCTCGATTATGCGCATGCTATGTATTGGCCCGAGGGGACGCGCAGAAACCCGCTCCCCCGTCCCCACCCGGAACTTTACCGCCTAGTAGCGCATGTTCTTGGGCTCGGCCTTTTGACCGACAGCCGCCGTGGGTCCCTACATTCGGGGAAAGGCTTTAATTCAAAGCCCTTCCACGGCTGGCTGCCACAGTCGCACTCTCAAGTGTCACATACTGTGACGATAGGCAACCACACAATCAACGAAACAACTAATTGAAGCTACTGTTCTGGAGTCATTTGCACAATGTTCTGCAAATCTCCACCCCGTTTCTCAATAGGTTGGGGCAGCCGATGCCGTTTTGCATTGAATTTCTGCTGGGTTGGTCAGAGCTAGAGCAGTGTAAGAGAAGGGCTCTGTCAATGAAGGCACAGGCTCAAAAACAGCCAAGTGCGCTTGCAGACAACCCCGCTGAAGATCGTGCCAGTCCCTTTCTATGCAACGAAGTCGCTGGGCCGTGCAAGATTGCGTTGAAGATATTGCTAGGCTAGGCGGGATGTCTCATTGCTTGTCCAACCCAGACTCCTGAACCAGTGACAGCCCGTGAGATCATCACACGGAGCCTCCAACGCTTGCCCAACTTCGGCTTTCAGTCATCCCTGACCGATACACCTCTAGACGGTTGGCTTGGCTGCCCTACTTGATAGAACCGCCCTGTGATTTAGGATGCACGGTGTGGCCGATGAGAGCCTTCCTCCAACGGCCCGGGCAAGCATTGTGCCCAGGCCTAGATCTTGACAGGATGCACCCTGAAGGATTGGCACCACTGAAAACTCCGCTGAACAATTTGACAAGCACTGTGCCTACACTATCGGAAGTGTCGAGCGCTTACGTGTGCTGGCAGTTCCATCTGCAAGGACGACATGCGGGCAGAGTTCTCGAATGCGGTCATCCGCAAATCCAAAACCAGGGCCATCAGCAAGCAACACCTGAATGGCATCTGGGTGATCGACGGAAAATTCCAAGCTTCCTCAGTTCTTGCAGACTCTCTCTGCGTCCGTGCTCACGCAGCCGGGATTGCGCAACCAAGATTCAACGCGTGCTCGTTTCCAAGAAAAAAGTTCGCATGGAACTTCTCCAGACTCATGATGCATGCACATACGAGGGTTCGCATGAACATCAGGAGTGGGGAAGCTCTGCGAAAGGAAAAAGCAAAACACGTAAGGAGCATCAGCCTGACGACAATAAACGCCACTCGACAAGAACGGAAACTCTCAAAGAAAACAGCCGGGCAAACAACGAGATCTTCTTACACTGATGCCCGCACAGGCCCTGCGATGATGCTTCTGATTTTCAAGCTTCTTGTAAATTTGCCCGTCTGCCTTGCACACGGTCTATGTCCCGAATTCAAGTAGTTCATCTGGCCTTCAGCCTTGAGGTGACCTAAAGTCTTAAGTTTACCTTTGACTGACAGCGCTTCCTCACTGGTCGAATCCTGCACGTCATTCCTCTTGAAACCTTGGCCCCTCGACAGTGTCTTATATGCTGCCTGACGAAACGAAAATCGAGGATCCAAAATTGCTCCAAGTTACCCTGGGCCCATTGCCTCATCTTGTTGGGGCTGGCACAACCACCTTGCCCGAATCCTGCGCCAAAACAGCTTGCGGCCACATGCCGCCACATGTAGCATGTCAGAAACGATCTGGCGAATATACGATTCGACATGAATCGACGCTGTCTACCGGACCAAATATGTACTCCGACAATCTCCGACATACCGATCATCGACCAGAGCTCCAGTTTAGAACGGAAGAAGGTGTGGTGACGAAGGGAGTTCTCGGCCCGAGGTTTTGCGATTTACATGCAGTGCTGCAGAAGCAGCAGAGATCTGCGCAAGTAAAAGCATGATGCACTTGCGGTTTGAGCTCCCCGCCGGATCCTACATGCCACAAAACCTCGGGCAAGCTCTGAGCTGCTTGGGCCAAGCAGCACCATAACGAGCATACCGCCGTCATACCGAACCAAAATCGAAAGATTGCGCAAGCCATCTCTCACATCGCTTCGTAGTTTTACCTTTCCAGGTTTGTTAGATTGTTGGCACCTAAGTTTTCAACTAACCACGGAATGGCGTGCAGCTGGGTCCTGGTCGACCAGGGCGCCGGAGGGCTGTCAGGGGTAACGTGCGCAAGAGAAAGCAGGCAGTCTCTCAGAAGATGATTCAAGTGCTGCTGTTTCAACTTAGAAAGCTGCTCGGCAATTTGCGATTCACACCAGTCCCAGGGATAGCTCGAGCTGCTTTTGAGGAGGCCCCACGGCAAGTTTCAATAAGTGTTGCGGGAGGGGAATGCGGGTTCTTGGGGAGTTCTTTTCTCGCAGACCTCACGAGCCTGGTGGTTCGGTGACCCAGCTGCTATGCTAGTAGGCACTGGGAGTATGCTCAAAGAAACAAGAATGTATTGCGAGGGGGGGCCGCCACACATTCATGGGGCTAGATTCAATCTGATCAAACGACTTCCAGCTTGTTCTGCGTAGGCCACACCGGAGGCACAGGGCACATGCATTAGTGATAGTAGCAATACCCGACGATGGGCACGGTATCTGGCTCAACGACCAAACTTTAAACCCCGTGTGAAACACATTCTCGAACCCGGCAAAATGTATTGTCGGATGGTATACCCACCCTCCCTCCGCAATACATGAGGTAGGGCTACGGTAGGGCTGCCGCTTCCAGTCCCTTCATTTCGGCAGCCCACCGAGAAACAAAACAGGATCCTACCGAACATACCGAAGGTTTGTTAAAATCTCTCGTGCACTTCTGGAACTTGGAAGCTCGTCACTGACAATGTTGACCTCCCCACCAAGCATTGCAGCCGGGGCACTGCACGCACGAGAACTCCAGACCCCTGGCAAGGGAACAAACTCACCAAGTGCATAATGCCGCTCCCTCCCTGCAGAAACCACACGCAACACCGCACCCCGGACGTCACCGAGGTCCCCACCACGCGACCAGCGGATCCCTCCTGCGACTTGGTTGGGAATTTGGATTGTCAAGTGTACCCGAAGGAAAAGAAACAAGGATAGAGACACAAACAGAGCAAGGGAGGTCTTGCTTGCATCTGTGAGTTTTAGGCATGTCGGCATCCGTATAGCTATGGGAGAATGCATGCTTACAGTTATAAAGCATTCGTACAAACAAATCTGAACCGAGAGTAGTCGCAGGCCAGGCTGCATAGATTGATGCACTACCGGTTCATTTCGGAGTGCGGGGGCGTGCCCCGAGCCAACGGTCAGCAAACGGAGTGCCACGGTACAGTCGCGACGGTACAGCTCGCTTATGCTAGAAGAAAGAATCAGATCACCTTGAAACTCAAAACAAACGGTCTGGGGCCCGACGAGCTCAAGTGAGCCATCAGCCCCGAAAAGACGCAGAAACAAGCATCAACGCCAGAGCCGCCGTTCCACTCGCGCCTTAACACTACCTTTTTGAAATCAGGTTCGGATCCTGCAACAACCCGAGCGACTACAACTGAAAGATTGCAGGGTCTTTCAGTGCGCTACACCGACAACTCGGCTTTCCTTAGATGCGTAACACAACCCACACTCCACCGCTGCAGGCCCTCTTCTGCAGGAGAGGGCCCCCCTGCCCCTGCCTGAATCGAAGCTGCACTCCTGGAACTACACAACAAACTGATGGATAAGGAACGGGGGTCCCACACCCTGTACCTGGAGCCGCCGGCTTAAGGGCCTTAAGCAAACTACAAACCTCCCCCGACGCATGTCGCCGAGGGCCCGGCCTTTCTGAGCGTAGGCTGCATCGGCGTGACCTCGCCCGTCCTGATCCGCGACCAAAGTTCAAAGCAGAGCGCGTTGCATCAGGTTCGCATGACATTTGTGCGTAATTATCTCAGCACAGTCCTCTCCCCCCCGGCTTCACACAGCAGTACGGGTAGTACGGTAGCACCCTACAATGGCCCTGTGACAAGACATAAATTCGATCTTCCCTTACGAGTACGCTGCCGCTTTGTGCTACAGTAACTCATGACAGCTGGCTGAGTTTGCTGCACCTCTTTTGAAAACCTTCTTCTTCACGACCTATCCAAATAATACGACTTCAAGACTATGACTGCTAGACACGGACGGCTTGTCAAAAGCAAAGCCCTGCAAGGTGCACGCGGGGTGCTGCAAGCTGTCCTTGATGGAGTCCTGGTTGGGCTTGTAGGATGGACTTCATCATAGCCTGTTGTGCAGCTTTTGATATGCAAATACTACTGCAGGACGAAAGATCGCCACACAACATGAAGTTAAGACAGAGAACCACATTCCCACCCCTTTTCCGCCGTAG